TTTCCAACATTGGGAGCAAGACTTTTCTATTTCTCAGTGTCAAAACTAGGATTAAGCTTCTAATAGAGATAAATATTTTTCTTACAGTGCATCTCTTGCCTAAGAGACCTATTTCTTAGATTTATTTGAAAGCTGAAAGGAACCTTAGAAACGATCTAGTTCAATGCCATCATTTTACAGAAAATAGTAACAAGGATGTGAAAGACCATGGTTAAAGTTATACAGATGCTAGCGAAGCCCAATCTAGAATCCAGGTCCTCCATGGGCCATTTCTGCTACGCCAGCTTGATTCTTTCTATTTAACAAAAAGGGCTGCCACCAAACAGTTACCCTGTGAAGACCATTCCACACAAAATTTTTGACAAATATTAATTGGATGACTATTCCATGTACATCACCACGCCAGGCACTATGGATAATTCAAAGGTGAATTCACTATTATTCTTAAGAATCTTGCAATAAAATTCAAAACCGGGGGTGGGGGTGGGGGGGGGGAAGATTACAAAAATGCAAAGGAGGTAAACACGAAGAATTTGGAAAGAGCACCAGAACTAATTTCAAGATTAACAAGCAACCTCCTTGAGATTCCAGATAGAACGTCCCTCTTAAATGTTATGCAAATTGTGCTCCCTAACTATGACTAGGGGGCATTCACAGAACAAGATCATTATCTTATAGCACTTAATATAAACATGAATATTATAATTTAGAAGATTAAAATAAATTCAAGTAAGGAGTCTTTAATCTGAAGAATGTTGCCCCCTGCACGACAGAAACTAACTCCTTATTTCTTATTTGTTTCAGATGAATTCCTCTTCTCTTCATCAGTGACCCTGTTCATGACTCAGACATGTGGATATAAGGAAAACAGCCTGAAGTCTTGGAGCAAACTACAGCAGCCTGGCAGGGCCTTGAGGGGGGCAGTAAACTGCCCGTCTTTCCTGAAGGATGAGGATTTGGAGATGATCATAGGGGACCTAGGCTGGAGAGCAGGCCATCGTCTGCTCACGGACTTCCCCTCGACAGGGTTTACTGACCTCTGGACAAGATCCATTTGATTTACGTGGGTTACTGCCTGCGGCACAGGCTATTGGGAAAGGCTATCCCTTGAATCTAAAATCAAGTTTGGGATGATGATTCGGGAACATTTCACCAGCTGTTTAGGAAATCCTGGACTCTCATGTTGCCTACATTTACAACTTTGTATGCCTGCAAAGAAACTAAGAGTTAAATATGTCCCTTTCCTGTGAAGCTTCTTTAAAATTCACATCTCTGCTTCTCTTTCATGTATGTGGATAAATGTGCATAGCCGAGGGAGAGTTGGTAGCTTTCATTTAACATATTTAGCTGGATCTTTTCAACCGAAATGTAAATCTGCAATGTATTCTAATGCAACCCAATTAGAGTTACTAACACCATCTGTATAGATATTTTTGGTTCAGCTGTCGAAAAACACACAAATACACCCTAGTAATACAATATTCAATAGCTGTGTGATATTTCATTGTACTATACGTCATTTTTCCCTTTTCTATTTTTAAATGGATTGATTTTAATTTTTTTTCCTTTTTGAATTAATATTTTACTACTTATTTCCACATTAAGTCTGTGCCCACATCTCTGAGATTTTTTTCTTGGGATAGATTGTTAGAAGCGGAATTACTATAGAAAGTACATAAATTTTTACACTAAAAGTCTTGAAATAAAAACAAATACATGTATAGTATTTAAGAAGCCAAATAATACAAGACTTGTAACAAAACAACCTAGCATTCTCCAGACCCTGTCTGTCCTGTGTCCCTCTCTTTGGCGGTTTCTTCTGCTGTTTATCTTCAAATATTGTTCTCTCTTGATTTTTAAATTTTATACATTATCTATTGATCCTACCATGAAAGGAATAATTACATTTCTTACATGACCAAACATCATTTTCTCTACTCTCCTTGTGCTGATTACACTTTTTGGTTTAAATCAATATTCAGTATTTACGTTTTTATGCTACATAAATGTTATTCTCTAAGCCATGCAGAATATTATGATTACATTTCCCTTCTTATATAAATTTTTCACTATAGCTAATAGCTGCCTCATTTTATTTCATATATTTAATGTGGCTGTTTAAAATGTGGGCCCCAAATTCTTTGAAACTCTTCCCATTGATAGGTGAGGTCTACAGCTCCTCCCCTTGATTTTGGGTGGGCTTGTGACTATTTTGATAGGAGACCATGGAAATGACTGTATGACCTCGGAGGCTGGTTATAAAAAAAGATGCAGCCTCTGCCTTGTTTGCTGGAACACTTGCGTTTGGCTTTCTGAGCCAGAAAGTAAAAAGTCCAACTATTCTGAGGCTGCCATGCTGTTAGGAAGCCAAACTCAATGGAGGGTCCATGTAAGCACTCCGGTTAGTCAGCAGCCTGGTTTTCTCAATAGCTCAGCCCGGGCGCCAGGTGTGAGTGGAGCTTCCAGAGGAAACCAGTCCCCAGCATCCCTGAGTCACCTCCAGTCTCTAGGTCTTTCTAGCTGAGGCCCCAGACACAATGGAGCAGTCATGCCCTGTGCGCTGCCCACATTCCTGACCCACAGGATCCATGAACGTGATAAAATGGTTATTTTAAGCAGCTAAGTTTTGGGGTAATTTGTTATGCAGCAATAGTAACTAGAACACTTAGTTTTCTATGTATCCATCATTAATCTGTCCCTAAATTCTCAGTATGGTCAAGTACATTAGGTGATCATCAGTTCCATTTTTTTCCTTGGAGATTTCTCCTGGAGATCTCTGTCCTCTTGTCCCAATCTGGACCGGATGCATAGCCATCAGCCTAGGATTTGCTTGGATGAGAGACAGTGTAGCACATTACTTAAGGACATGGGTCCCGTAGCCAGGATGCCTGGGTTTGAATCCTGGCTCCACAACTTGCTAGCTGTGTGACTGTGCACAAATTAGTTAATCTCTCTGTGTCTCAGGCTTCTCATTAGACCATAGTAAGTGCTCTTCTTCTTGGCATTACTGTTGTTGTCGTTTATTCTTCCCTTCATGTTGTCCTGGGAATTCCCGTTGCCTCATACCTATATCTGATCCCCTAGTTCCTAAAATTCCATGTCTTTCTCTTTCTTGGTTATTCCCTTGTCTTGACAGAATATATCACCTGCTCCCTGAAAAATGATGCTTGGGAGGTAAGTTGAGACCATGTTTATCTGTTTTAAATTGTCTTTATTTAACGTCACACTTGATAACAGGACTGGCATAAAATTCTAAGTTGGAAACAATTTTCTCTTTGAATGTTGAAGGTATTACTCCACTGTCTTGAAGCTTTCAGTGTCACTACTGTGGCCATTCTGATTCTTGATCCTTTGTACGTAGGTTTTTCTTTTTCTTTTTTGGAAATATTAGGAACTCTTCTTTATCCCTCTTGTTTTGAAATTTGATAATCATGTGACTTGGTGTGGGTCTTTTAAAGTTCATTATTTAGGGCACCATTTCAATTTGGAGACTCAGATCCTTCAATTCTCGCATTTTTCTTTCCTTTTTAAAAAATTCTTTGTTAATTTTCTTACCTCCATTTTCAGTTTTCTCTTTCTGAGACTCATAATATCAAGCTCTTAAAGCGGTCCTCTAATTTTTTTTATCTCTTCTATTTATTACTGTCTTTTCCCTCAACTTTTGGGGAGATTTTCTCATATCTTCCATTCTTTTTCTGATTAAAAAATTTTTTTTTCATGTTTTTATATTTTATAATTCTGCTTTCTTATTCTTGGATTGTCCATTTTTATATATCCCCTGTTCTTCTTTCACAGATTTAATATCTTACCTCACTGAGTACCCTGATTACAGTGCTTTTGAAAACGTGGTTCTTTCTCCCACGTCTCTGTCCTCTGAGTTCCCTCCCTCAGCTTGCTCTGGACTCGTTCTTTCATGGTACAGCCTTTTCTCAAACGCCCAGGGCTCCTCTATCACCTCGTCCACTTCTCTTGGCTATTCTGTGCACTCAGATACTCTGAGGTCTGTCAGCTGGTGGGCCTCACTGCAGGTGGGCTGGTCAGGGACATGGCACGGTGACGGAGGGAGCCCCAAACTTCCACATCTGCAGGTCTTTTCTCCTGGGTTTGACAGTTTCCCAGAAAGGAATCCTCTCGTTTTCTACCTGACAAATATGAGGGATGTTAAGCTAGCTGCCAGCATTTTGAGAGCCAATAAGGGAGCAAGGGTAGCAGAGGGAAAATCTTACCTTTCTGAACGCAAATATCACTTGGGCTCTCTCTGCTTTAGGTATGGCGGCGGCTAGACCCCCTCAGCTGTGCCTGGTTCCCCATGTCCAGAGTCTCAGATCAACCCAATCAATTAGAACCATGAAGTTAAATAAATTCCATGAAGCTCTGGATAAAAGGGCAAAGACTTTTTATACCAGAGTTTCTGGATTAAAAGAAAACCAAAAAAGTTCCCTCTCATCTTTCACACCTTGTCTCCTCACAAAAAAAAAGGGGAAATTTACCCAGTTGATGCCCCTTTACTCTTCCCAGTTAACCATGCCCTTTTTTCTTTGATAATGCCTCAGAACTTGAGTGTTCAGGGTCCAAGTTTGTTTTAAAATAACCCAATGAGCTGACAGACGGAGCTCCTGGAATTCTGCAGCTTGTGCTACAGTCTACAGATGGGAAATTGCCGTCAGTTAAAGGGTGGTGCTATTACCATAGCCCAATTTTTGAAAGCCTTTAGAAAAAAAAATCTGAGTTAATTAGCATTCACCACAGGCACTAGTTTTGGGTTGCAGTATTCTAGGAACTCAGATAATAAGAAAACACAATATTGCAGTTTCTAACTTTTAACTAACACTTCAGGTCTTAAAAATGTAGATTATAAAGTAAGAATTTTACCTGTTACACTAATAGGCTGACCTATATGATCTATATGGCTGATGTCTTAGATCATCACAAAATGTGAATTATGTTCTAAAATCAACTAAGTACTACCGGTACCTAAAATGGGACTAATTTCATTTTACCTCTCCGATCTGCTTAATCCACAAATCTCTTCCAAGAAACTCCTGATGTAAGACTACGGGAGCTGAGTTCAGATGAAAAGTTGTGGAGTCACTGGTCTTTTCTTTAATAAAAGGCTGGAGATCAGAATTTATCTAGAAGGAGTAGTCAAAAGAATTAAATCAGTGAAATGCATGTACACTAGTATGTTTTAGCCATATACAGAAAGCATGAGTTAATACAATGAAAAATGAAGCTTAAGGAATGCAGTTTTTAGATGTACTTTAACAAGCAAAAGAACAGTCTGTACGATTAACAATAATCTTTAAAATTCTTTAAAATAATTTTTCCTTAACATTTCTTTTTTATTTGGCAGTAGCCTTTATTTCACTTTTTAATTTCAAGGTAAAAATTTAGAAAAAGATTTAATACATATAATTGCTTAATAAACTAATCTCAGATTTAATATATAAAAAACTCATCTGGAGATATTATCTATATAAGTATATATTCCCCCCTCTTATAAGCTATTTAAGCAACATCTAAGAAATACATATTAAATAGAATTTTAAAATTACATATACACAGAGAGAACAATATAACAGCTAATCTTGGGATATTTTATATTTCATTATGCCCATTCAAAAGAATCAGCTAATGGAACTAAAGCTTTCAATTTCATTTAGTATATTTCTAAATTTCATTAACATTTCACAATTCATTTCATATAAGGAACTATACGGGAACTGTAACAAAAATGCAAATATTCTTCCATTCTGTGAATGGCAACATTACACGTTCTTTAATAATCTGTAAGAATTCTTTCAAGAACCCTTTCAGGTGGTAAGAAAAGATAAACATCACAAATATGGTTTAAGTAAGCTGTAGCTTTCTATGAAAATTACACAGTATTCACTAATCATACTGTTTATATTACACAATAATCACCATCTATCACTGATAGATTTTAAGCAAACAATAAACATTTTTTGAGATATAAAAGCAGCTTATTAAATGGTAAAAGGTTTCTTGTCTATCATTTTTGTTATTTAAGTACTGGAAAAAGAGAAAGGGTGTACAAATACCTTATGACTCATGGCCATGTGCTTCCCATACTGAAATGCCATATCCTGAACCTCAGCACCATGCTTTGCTAATTCCATTGCAGCTTGGCAGCTCTTTGCTAATAAGGCACCATGGGAGAGAAAAGTCTGCTCCTTCCAAGTCGATATTCCAATATCATCTGTGATATAATTTTCCTAAAAAATGCAACAAAAGCCAAGATAAAAAAAAGCTTTAGGAGTAATTTAATTGTTTCAGTTTTTGAAAAATAAGAGTTAAGAAATGAACTATTCAAACCACTCAGGCTATTGCAACAAGACAGAACTAAAGATGCTGAAGCTCAGCTCTACCTAAAGAGAACTACGGAGGTGGGAACTGCTTTTTTAGGGTAATGGGGAAGAAAAATGAAAGAAATGCTGAAGCAAATTTTATTTTGAGCTGGGGAACTTCTATGAAGAAATATTTTTAGGATAAGGCAAAATTAGAAACTTGGACCTCCGAACTAACTCCCTCCTATATTCACATCAGATCTTAAGTGCTAGTATTCTAAAATGCAAGAATCCTATCGCAAATGTCAAGGGCATGATGAATAAACACCACTTTCTTATAAACAGTTAAACAGAAAAATCAGAGAGGAGGTAACCCATTACAATGGAGTACGATTTATATTACATTACTCATCAAAGTTTATTCCCATAAGAAGAAACAAAGTGATAAGGGAGAATGTAACTGTGGTTTATTTAATTTCATCTTTTTAAATTTTGAAAAGCGTTGTAATATCTGTAAGTATACACACACCTACTGCCTCTAGACCAGTGAAGTCTAATAAAAACATAATGTAAGCCACATATGCAATTTAAAATTTGCTAGTAGCTACATTAAAAAAGTGAAAAGAAACAGGTAAGGGCCGGCCCCGTGATCGAGTGGTTGAGTTCATGCGCTCCGCTGCGGCGGCCCAGGGTTTCGCTGGTTCGGATCCTGGGCATGGACATGGCACCGCTAGTCAGGCCATGTTGAGGTGATGTCCCACATGCCACAACTAGAAGGACCTGCAACTAAGATATACAACTATGTACCTGGGGGATAAAGCAGGAAAAAAAAGACTGGCAACAGTTGTTAGCTCAGGCACCAATCTTAAAAAAAAAAAAAAAAAGAAACGGGTAAAATTAATCGTAATGACATTTTTATCTATCCCAATATATCCAAAATATTATTTTGAGATATAATCAACATAAAATTATGAGATATTTTACATTTTTTAATATTAAGTTTTCAAAATCAGTGTGGATTTTACGCTTACAGCACATCACTAGCCGAATTTCAAGTATTCAATAGGTACAAGGAGCTAGTGACTATCCTATTGCATAGCTTTACTGCAGGCAGTGAGCTCTCTGAGGACAAGTGTGATGAAGCAAATATATAAAACAACGTCCATTTTATGGTGTTTCTTTGAAATCTCAAACTAGAACCCATCTAGAAAGATTAATTTTCTTTCAAACACTTTCCTTCCTGCCATCCATACCATAATCCTTCTCCTTCCGCCATTATTATTATTTTTTTTTTGAGGAACATTAGCCCTGAGCTAACATCTGCTGCCGATCCTCCTCTTTTTGCTGAGGAGGACTGGCCCTGAGCTAACATCTGTGCCCATCTTCCTCTACTTTATATGGCATGCCTACCACAGCATGGCTTGCTAAGCGGTGCCATGTCCGCACCCGGGATCCGAACCAGCAAACCCTGGGCCATCGAAGCTGAACGGGCGCACTTAACCACTGCGCCACCTGGCCGGCCCCTCGTTCCACCATTATTTGAGGACAAAATAAAAAATAATAAAAAAAGGTAAACAGGGGCCATTGAAAGGTCAGCTCAGATTTAGCCCCACTTCTTTCACCAAGCTGAAGGGAATCTTGAGTGCACTGATCAGACCAAATTCTCAGCTTAATTTTATTAAGCCTTTAAACAAAAAGAGTTCCACTTATGACAGTGGCAAATATGCAACACAGCATTGTGTCATAATCAAAAAGCTACACAGGGGAGACACAGTTCATAAACTTGAGACCTGCTTCATGAAACATTAGGTATAAATAAAAACATTTAATTTTAGAAATCTGAGAATGTATTTTAAAATGTGCAAAGTTAATATACCATATTAATAAACCTAAGATAAAAACCATGTTATCTCTTCATATATACTAAAGAGGCATTTGACAAAATTCAACTCTTATTCCTGATGGGAAAAAGAAGTGCTGAATAAAATAGGAACAGATGTGTATTTCTTTAATATGACAGGGGTGTGTGTCTGTGTGTGTGTGAGTATGCACCTGAGTGTGCACCCAAAAGTCAGCAAATATTTTATGGGGAAATACACGAGCCTTTCTTCCTAACATCAGGAATAAGACAGAGATGCACACAACACCACTGCTATCTAACAGAAGAGGCAAGAAAAGGACATATATATAAAAATTAGAAACAAAGAGTTTAACCATCACTATATGAAGACAATATAACTGTATGCTGGGAAAAACCAAGAAACTCAACTAAAAAACTACTGCAAATAAGAAGATAATTCAGTAAGGTAGCAGCATATAAAATTAATATAATTTATAATTAATATGATAAATGTATTAACCATAGCTTTCATACATAAAAACTAATCAGAAAGTATTATAAATAGGGTCTTTGCTTCCATTATATCTATGAAAAGAAAGATTAAAAAGCTGGGACTAAACTCAGATATATACAAAATCGAAACAAAGAAAATGTTAAAATATTACTGAAGGAAAAAAAGTAACCTGAATGAATATCATGTTTAAAGGTAGTAAGATCCAGCCTCATAAAGTTACTCCAATAAAACTAACACCTTCTGTCCCCCACTCCTCCCAGCCCCTCTAAACCAGGCAAGCTGATTCTAAAGTTTACACAGGGAAAAACCAAACAAGAATAGGTAGGAAAGAGCGAGCTTGATGGCCTACTGGTTAAAGTTTGGTGAGCTCTGCTTCAGCAGCCTGGCTCCAGTTCCCACGTGCAGAACCACACCACTCCTCTGCCAGGAGCCATGCTGTGGTGGCAGCTCACACAGAAGAACTAGAAGGACTTACAACTAGAATATACAACTATGTACTGGGGCTTTCGGGAGGGAAAAAAAGAGAGGAAGATTGGCAACAGATAGTAGCTCAGGGTGACTCTCTCCCTGCAGAAAAAAAAGAAAAGGCAGGAAAGTCATGAAAAACAGGGGTTGGGGGGGAAGCAAATGATGTCTAGCTCTACCAGATAGTTTAGCATACTATAAAGCCTCAGTAATTTTTTGAAAATGTGTACTTTTTAGACAGACAAACAATGGAACAAGATGGAAATCCAGAAGTCAATCAAACTGTGTACAGGAATTTACTATATTTTAGGGAAACACCGGACTTTTCAGCAAATGGTACTGGTAGGACTGAATAACTATCTGGAAAAAAATAAAGACTGATCTGCATTTCACACTATTTACCAGGATAAACTCCAAATGGCAAAAACAAAAGAAAAATAATCACAAAACCATAGGCAATGTGAGAAGACAAAAGACAATAAGGAAAAGTATTTGCATTTCCTATCACAGATAAATGGCAAATCTCCCTGTGGTACGTTGGTGGCTGCCCCCCCCCTCCCCCGCAGAGATGTCCACACCCTAATCCCTGGACCCTGTGACTATGAGCTCACATAGCAAAAGGGACTTTGAAGTCACGACTAAATTCAGGATCTTGAGATGGGTGATTATCCCACATTAACTGGGTGGGCCTAAGGTAAAAAACGATCCTCATAAAAGGGAGGCAGCAGGGTCTGTGATGACAGAGAGAGGGAGATTAGAAGATATTATGCTGCTGGATTTGAAGATGGAAGATGCAGCCACAAGCCAAAGAATGAAGGCGGAAACTAGAAAGGGCAAGGAAACAGATTTTCCCCTAGAGCACCCAGAAGGAATGCAACCCTGTCATCAATTTGATTTGGGGGTTTCCGACCAATGAAAAAAAAATTTCCACCTCCCCAAATCTTCCATCTTAGTGTTGGTGAGGCTGGGAAGAAACAGGTGTCTCAAACATGGTTGGTGGAAGTGAAGACTGCATCGAAAGTTACAATATCTATCAAAATTACAAATGTATTTGCCCTGTGAGCCAGCAATCCTACTTCCAGGAATTAATCCCACATATAAACCCAAACACATGTGAAATGAAATATATACAAAGTCATAGTTTATTGTGCTGATCACCCAGCTGCCAGGGTGATCCTTTTAAAACATAAATCAGACAGACCACGTTGGCCTTCGTGCTGTTTCTCAAGCGCTCCAGGCAGACTCCTCCTTGAGGCCTCTGCACTTGGTGTTCTCTGTCACACACTCTCCCCAGATGTTTGCTTGGCTCCATTTCTCATTACTTTTGGGTCTGTAATCAAATTTCAATTCCACATCCCTCCCCCATCATTTCCTGTCTCTTTATCCTGCTTTAAACATTTTTCCTTTGATACTACTGGACACCTGATACAGTTATCTCCCCTTCACTAGAATGTTGACTCCCTGAAAGCAAGGACTCTGCCTGTTCTGTGCTCTGCTGAAACATCAGCACCCAATATAGTTCATTAGGTATGCAGAAAATGTTTGCTGAATCTCTATCTTTCTTTTGGTATCTTTCTCTTTCTCTATTTTCCACCTCCCTTTATCTTTCTTAAATTGGACATAATAAATAAACTGAAATAATTCTCCTTGAATGCCTTCCTACTGTCCACAGAATCAAGAAAAACTCTACAGCACAGCATTCAAAGCCTTCCATTTTGGTACCAAGCTTCTGGCTCCATCTCCTATCCAAAATATCCCCTTTGAGGGCTGCATTTCAGTAACACAGGACAAATTGCTGTTTCTTGAATAAAATACATATTTTCACACTTGTGTGAATTTTAAAATATTATTCCTTTTAAAGGGAATGTCATCTCCTCCCATTCTCTGCCCAGTAAATTGAACGCATCCAGTTTAAATATCACTTCTTTGGGAAGCATTCTCAAATACTCCCACAAATACTCTCCTCTTTAGACTAACATTATCTTATTTATATTTCAATGTAGAACTTATTCTCTCTGAATTGTATGACTGCTTATTTTTCTGTTTCCCTGAGGGCTGGATATGGTTACCTTTATATTTTTTAATCTCTTAGGCTATATTTAATTTTAA